CTTAATTTAAGTAGATGTAAATACCAGCTTTTATAGTCGGTAATTCAACGGAAGCGGGAGGCCGAGTTGAACTTCTTGCCGACACACTCATAAGCCCCTCCCACTTTACTAGCCGGTGGTAAGCCCAAAAAGCGGGAAAGTTGAGCGTGAGACTAGCGAGCCTATCTGATAAGAACAATACAACTGTTACTGAAAATTCAAAAGTTCAAAACCGTATGTTCCATTTGAAAAGCAAAATAATGAAGAAAACACTTTTAACTTATGAATATGCACATATTGAATGTAGCTGAAATAAAATAAAGGATTATCTTTATTCAAGTATCGGTTTGTAGGGATTTGGTTGACTGGTTACAGGATTTCATCATGAGCTGACATTGGTTAGTGAACCATTGGAAAACCTGGGAGTACTGGGCAGCTGTTTCGTCCTAGTTTGGGACTCTTCATCAGTGTGCACCCACCGGGATTCGGACCCAGGACCTTCCGGTTACAAGGCGAGCTCGTAGACCATTATAGCCACTGGGACCCAATCCAATGGCTCATGAATTCCAACTTCTACCAATTCAAGACATAGCGCAACCACTAGCCAATGTCTTCAGCGAGTATTTGTCCTCACACCCGACCGGTTGCACCCTACTGGTCACGACTTCCCACTGGAACCCTGAATAGGGCCAGTCGCCAATGAGCATCTCATTTATATTCAAGTATTGGTTTGTAGGGATTTGGTTTATCTTTACTGCCTACTTCCCATACAAAATACCAAACTTTTAAACGCGGTTATTACAGTTGAGAATTTCTCTACATAAGTGATATCTTTAAATCTCTAACCCAACAAAATGACAATGGTCACCACTTTTTAATAACGTCCACTAATGAATTATACAGGTGGGAAGCACCAAATCCATAAATACGTAGTGACCTAGGGATACACACTTGAGACATATAATAATAATAATAATAACTGAAAACCAGGAAGTACTAGGCAGCCATGTCGTCATCCTAGTTTGAGATTCATAGGCAGTACTCAACCACCACATGGCTTCAAACCCAGGATTTTCCAGTTACAAGACAAGTCACCGGGACTCGACTCAATGATTAGCCTGTGAATTCTCATTTCTACCAATATGTGATTTTACTAGGACCACTGGGCAATGTCACTCCCGACAGGATGGACTCCACTGGTCAAGACTCATCGGAACTTCAGGAAACTTCGTCCTGTAGACAGTTATTAGCGAGCATCGCATTTTCAAGAGGTTAACTTCTAATTAGAAGGTCCTGAGTTCGAAACCCGATGAGTGTGTACTGCCGATAAGTCCCAAACCAGGACAAAACTCGCTGGTTTCCAGTGGTTCTCTAATTGATATCAATCCGTGCTCAAAACTAAAAACCAAATCAAATCCCTGCAAAGGAACTCTTGAAAATAATCATAACAGCTTTGTTCTGAAACAATTTTCACATGGTGACAAAAATTTCCAGCAAAGTTTATTGCATGACATTTTCCCATCGTCTAGAATCTCCAAATAAATTACTGATTGACATTAGATCCTGTGACACAGTTCTATACAACCTGAAGCGCAAACTAATCTACCAATATAATATCTCTGCTTCCTCACCTTTGAGAAATTTATATTAAGATAAAGCAATAAGAAGACTTAATTTGTCTGAATCGTGTAATGTATTTGCGCAACACATTTCAAACAATCTGATCACACACGGACTTGTCATAGGAATATACATGAAATTAATAAAGAGTTAAGAGGTGAGAAAACAGACTTAGGTCAAGTCAAAAGGACAAATTGAAGGTCAAAATAACAATGAAGACCACTAAACCAAATAGCAGAGGTAATATTATATGTGCTATGGTATCAAAACAGAATTTACCAAGGAAGGTTTAATGAGATGACGAATTATTTTTGATGGGTCAATAAAAAGATCTAATTATAGATAACCTAGCTGAACAGGACAGTATCTTAACTACCACAGTTTCTGCCTGACCTGTTCGGTACAAAAGAGCCTTAGTAAGGCACCTCTTAAGTAGAATCCACCGAATATGCACTGAAGACACACTTGATGAAGAAAAAAGAATATTGACACAAACTCTGGTTGATAACAATTATCCAGACAAGTTCATCAGGAGATATAAAGTAATCAGAACACCAAGACCCAATCGACAACTCGCCAATAAGATAGATGTGTACATCAAGCTACCCTATATGGGGCATCAAAGCAGCCTGATAACTAAACAAAGACTGAACGCTGCTGTCAAAAAGACTTTTTATGCCGCTAATATCACAATTGAGAATGTTAAGCCAATATATCTATATAAGCCCTAAAAACATGCGAAAAATGATGTCTCATCCCACTGTATTTTCCAATTTCAATGTACGTGTCGACACACATACATAGGGAGGACTCATCAATCTATGCAAGTAAGGGCTGTCTTCACAGCATATTCCTAAATGGCTCCAGAAACAAATGGAATCTCCAGAACCTATTAACGGTGAGAACAGGAGACCTAGTTCCTCTATTGCGAAACATATTATAGAGACAGGACATAAAAGTGATGTTAACAGATCTTTTAAACCTATCTATAAAACGTGTTTGGGGCGTAGTATCCTAAAGTTTGTGGAAGCCCTAGCTAGCAATTAGAAAGTTCAAGCCACCTTTATTCGTTCAAAAACAATTCGTCATCACATTAAAACTTCCTTGGTAAATTCTGTTTTGATACCATAGCACATGTAATATTACCTCCGATATTTGGTTTAGCGGTCTTCATTGTTATTTTGACCTTCAATTTGTCCTTTCGACTTGACCTAAGTCTATTTTCCCACCTCTTAACTCTTTATTGATTTCATGTATATTCCTATGACAAGTCCGTGTGTGATCAGATTGTTCGAAATGTGTTGCGCAAATACATTACACGATTCAGGCAAATTACGTCTTGTAAATTCTTAAAGGGAACTAATTGTTTTAAAATTTACATTTAGTTGAATGTCAATCATAAAACGTTCACAAGTACATTTTGTGAACCAAAGGAACAACCCAGGAACAGTTATCTCATGTATTCAGATAAGTTGGCATCCAGAATAATCCTTTTCCTCAAGTTTAGTATAAAGTTGAGAATCAGAAGTTTGTAAATGTTTTAAATACTTGACAGAGTAAAATATGTCATATTTTAGTACATTTAAACAAATTGAATAAGAGAAATTATGTGCAATATATTGATGAAGATTTTCAGTAGCCCAATTTTTAAGCAGGTCGCCTAGTGTTCACTAGAATTATACTATCTTTCTGACACAATACGGAAGAAGGAAGGCCACAAAATAACCATCTATTCTAGGAAGCGTGGTCAGTTTCCACCCATGATGTCACACAAGTGCGCGAATATAATGAGTAAGCTTTCATAATCTGTCTGTCTGTCTATTTTCGACATAGAACTTTGCACAAATGTGCACCAGTTCAAGTCACCACACTTCATGTATCACACAAAGGAAGAAAAGAAAGTACAAGAAAAGCATAATAGAGACAGTAAACAGAGGTGTAAGACAAAGGATTAGTAATAACGATGAACAAAACAGTTTCATTGGAAATCATAAGTCACAAGGAGTGGATTTATCTGCACCAGCCATTGAGAACGATTTTGAGCCATATCACCAATTGTTTCCAACCATTGATTTTTACCGTCCGAGGACCCCAACCAGTCAGGAAGTCTACACCTTCTTATGTGGCTAAGACTAACTGTTTTAGATTTCATTGAATGGTGCCATGTTTTTGTTTGACCTCCGCTAGCTTTTTACCAGCCTGACCATGTATCCGCTAACATTACTCGTCTAGGAAGGCGATGACTTGGCATACGTAACACATGTCCTAACCATCTCAGTCGATGTAACTTCACAACTTCGTCGATTGATTTCCCCTGTTTACCTAGAACTCGACGCCTAACCTCAATATTGCTCACCTTATTATGCCACTTATCACTTTCATAATGGAATCTACTGATGAAGAAAATAAGATTATGTTGAAGAAGCGATTGAAAAGATAACAAAATAATGCAATGTTACTTAAATATTCAAGGAATAATCAATTATGGCTTCTCAGATGTACGTCATTAGGATCCCATCAGGAAACCAGACAGATATCCCTGGAAGTTAGTACAACAGGTAAGCTAGATAAAGATCGCTATTGTTGCACAAACTAAATACTAGACATAAACTCAAACAAATGTATTTTAAAGGATCGTATCATGAGCTGACACAGGTTAGGGAACCATTATAAAACCTGGGAGTACTGGACAGCAGGTCGGGTGTGCGGATGACATTGGCTAGTTGGTTGCGCTATATTGTCAATTGGTAGACGTTGGAATTCATGGACTGGTCATTGAATCGGATCCTACTGGCTTAATGGTTCACCAGCTCACTCGCCTTGTAACTGGAAGGTCCTGGGTTCGAACCCTAGCTGTGGATAATTGCCGATGAACAGTCCCAAACTGGGACGAAATAGCTGTCTGGCAGTACTTCAAGCTTTTTCGATGGTTCTTTGAATGATGTCAGCTCATGATGAGATCCTGTAACCAACCAAATCCCTGCAAACCAACACTTTAAAATGTATTTTATACTGCAAATCATAAGATAACTTTTAGTGAATGATTTCCATTTACTTCACTACATAGAAATGTTGACAGGATGAAAACTACAAAATCATAGTCTAAAACAAAAGGTATTAGCATTAATATAACCATAAAATTATGTGACTAAATAATCCAACGTAATCCTAAGAGCTATCCTAACCTGGCAAAAGTTAGATAAACTGTTCTCCAAATACTAAAATCATCAATTTGAACTCACTAGGGAAACTAAGCAAAAACAAATATAACTCAAAAAGATAGATTATCCATTCTTCTCTTTAAATGAGAATTGTATGCATTTTTCAGTTTCTAATATCGTTTTTTTTTCATTTTTAATGTGAATGAGGTACAGAGAAGAAGAATATCGTAAGAACCTTACCTGGATGTAAAAAGCCATCAGAATCTGGAATTATTTCTGTGGAAAATCGATTAGTTTTATGATTAAACATGCGTTTCATTCGATAATGACGCTTTTTGAAACGTGAATATTTTGAAATTGAATGCAAGGAATCTTTAAATGTCTGTGAATTCGATAAATATCTGTTATTATTATTATACGATGAATTATGACTGAGGAAAGTTTTCAGCTGATCCTCTGGCATGGAAGAAATCATATATGTAGATGATTCAGAACATGTTATAACTGATTGTTCTAATCCTGAATCCATGTTTGATATATTATCATAATGTAAACGAGGCATTCTTAAAGTGGAATAGAAATGATTATTAAGTCTACCATGTGAATTAGATAAATATCCATAGCTATGACGATCACTATGACAATCACTAGGATGAGTTGATGATACACTCATTCTACCTTTCGATAACCAATAATCATCAGCATCAATATGATCTTCGTCTTCAGAAGTATCCTCATGTAATAAACCGTCAGCGTCCATATCACTTAAAGCAGCTGTAGAATAACATTCAGAAGTATCTAATGAAGACTCTTCATCGAGATTATCTTTTAAATACCACATATAATCTAAGTTATCTTCAGCTTGATCTAATTGAATTTGATTAGCTTGTAGTTTGTATAATAATCGATCCAGTGTATCGCTAAGTTTATTCAACTCATCTGTAATCAGAACAGTTTTCTGTGAAAGATTAGTGAATTCCAATTTACACGTATCATGTTGACATGTTAAAGAATGATTGCATTGTTTATCCAAGAGTGATGATGGTGCTGACGTTACTAATGCTGCATCATCAGTAATATCATTGATGTTACCAACTTTGTTTAGAAGGGATGTAGATTCATTAAGTTGTTCGAGTGAATAACTATCTGATTTAGAATTAAGAAGAGTTGATAAAGTATCCAGTTGTCGAAGAATAATTTCATCTCCTTCTTCCATATCTTCTTCTTCATCAATATTATCATCTTCGTTGTAATGATCACTTTGACTGCAGTCTTCAATCTTCACCGGGTTTTTATTGTTTTTCATATGAATTGTGTGGTCTTTATTCATTTCTATTGAAATGATATCATCATATTCAAAGCCTTCATTGTCATCTATATATAAACATGATAGAGAAGCTGAAGATGACAATGTACCTGAATTGGAATGAAAACGCGAACGATGATTTAGAAGAGAGTTATTGATATTTTGATTAGCTGAAGTGTTGTCCTCTGGTAAACTGTCTACAGATTCATTTCGTTTGATTTTCTTCTTTAATACAGTGTCACTATGTACATGCTGAATCAAAGATGATGGTGAAGATGATGACAGTGACTTTTTCTCTGATGAACCACCACGATAGTCAGGTTGTTTAGTACCGAGTAAGTCAACTACATTTGAAAACAATTGATCTGTAGACAGGCTAAAAGTCATTGCTGGAATAAAGTCTTCATCACATAATAATTCACTATTTGTGAAAGGGTATTCCATGCGTTCATCTTTCATGCTTGGAAAGAATACATTATCAATAGACATGGAGAGTTGTTTCAAACTTTGTTCATTACTATCATACAAGTCATTTCTACCGAATTTCATGTCAAATGATTTCGAAACTTGTAGCGACTGGCTTAACTCTGGAGAATTTAATCTATCCTTTGCGAACTGTGAAAGTAAGTCATCAGAAACAACCGTCTCAGATATGCTGCGAGTAACTGGAAGATTGTTTGTTGTAACACATTCCCCATCTGTTCAATATTCAACAGAAAAAAAAGAAATATTGATAAACATAAAATGTTACAATATACTACACAGCTTAATGGAAATAAGTCATTTAGAAAACGACTAACTCATGGTCAAATTAAATTATTTCGTTTACCGATTATCAACGATACTATGCAATCACGTGAATAGGTAAACTTTAAGCTTAAATATTCATTTTTATTAACTAAGTGTACAATCTAATGCATGGAGATATGGCTCAATGGCATGAGCGAACGACTTTCAGCAGTTGGGCAATGGGTTCGATTCCCGCTGCATCTATTCCATCCTGGAAAACTGAATAGTATTGTAACAGCAGAAAGTAAGACACGGAAGTAAAGGTATATTTTCAATTGACCAAACTGCTATTTATATATAAACAGTTTATATTCTATGACTAACCACTGAGCGTATGATCTTGGTTTACATTAAACGACATGAAATAGAATGTTCAAATGCATATAATATTCCGTTGCTAATGAACTATTGAAATGTGGGAATAGTGTCCAGATATTAACATCAACGAATACAAAGATTCTTACAATGAGAATAAAATTCCGTTGGGACACGTTATATCACACCACCACAGTATCATTAGCCCTTACATAATCGGTGTGTGACGTATATCCCTCTGTCTGTCTGTCTGGATTCAACATAGAACTTGGCACCGAAGTGCAGCGGTTCGAGTTCCCACGTTCCAAACAGCACACAAAGATTGACGAGAAGATGAGTGGAGAGAATCAATAGAGTTTGACAGGTATAAGAGCGAAACAGAATGGGTAATGGTAGAAAGAAATGTGAAAGATTACAGAGACTGAATACATCTGCGCTGGCCATTGACAACAATTTTGAGCCATGTCACCTATTATCTCCAGCCATTGATTCCTAGAGTCCCGAGGGCCCAAACTCGGAAGTCTGCATCTCCCTACCTGACCGATTCAGTTTAACTGTCAAGCATTTCATGGATTGATGAGGCCATGTTTTTGTTTGGCCACCACTTACCCTTTTCCAACCTGCACCTATATCAGTTAGTAATGCTCGTCGTCGGGGGAGGCGATGGTTAGGCATGCGCACTACGTGACCTAGCCATTTCAATCTATGTAACTTTATAGCCTCGTTGATTGATTTTCCCTCTTTGCCTGCCCAACACTCTACGCCTGACGTCAACATTACCTACCTTATTAAACCACCTAACGTGAGACAGAGATCGCACACATCTATGATCGAAAGCAGTCAACCTTTTCATGTCTTCGACTCGTATTGGCCATGTTTCAGAGCCATAGACAAGGACGGAGCGAACTGCTGAGTAGTACACACGTCCCTTGGTTGATAACCGGATGTCACGCCTACGCCAGAGGTGGTGTAAGTTGGCGAAAGCAGCTCGAGCTTTTTGGATCTGTGCTGAGATTTCGTCGCCAATCAGTCCGTTGGTGCTAATACAACTTCCCAAATAGGTGAAGTGGTCAACATGTTCTATCACTTCACTCCCTATCACTAAGCTAGGCGTTGACGTAGTCCAGTCCTGTAGCAGCATCTTACATTTTTCAGGGGCGAATCGCATGCCAAACACACGACGATTGTTGCTCAAGGTGTTCAGAAGACTCTGCATTTTGTCATCATCCTCCCCTAACAGGACTATGTCATCTATATATTCTAAGTGCATAAGACTATGCCCTGGTAACAAGTCGATTCCTAAGTCACTACGTTCAGTTAAGGATACTTCCATTAGCATATCTATGATGAAGTTAAACAGGAATGGGAAAGTGGACATCCCTGTCGTACACCACTGGTTGTTATCAATTCAGATGACAATTCCCCATAAGCCCTTACACTACTACGTGAGTTTGAATAGAGTGCCTTGATTAGTGCAATGTACTTTCTTGGCACTCCCTTATATTACTCACTTATATCCTAATATATAAGAGAACTGTTCTGAGCTGTTCCGTTTAAACAAAATAGAACAGTTGAATGTATGCGGTTGAGCAGATTCATGCTACATGGAGGTAAAAATCTCTTCACATAGAGTTATACTCAACTGAATTATCCATATCACATGCACCATATCACGATTATACCTCACTCAGCAGCTGAGCATATCAGGGTGGTTCACCCATAATTCAAACAATTTTGAATTTAGAAAGTAATACCCTTTTTTTTAAAAAAAAACCTCTATCAGGTTTAAAACGACCTAACTCAAATGTACATGGTATCACTGAAACCGTTTCACTTCGACGTAGGTTTAAACATATAAATGTCTCTGTCTACAGACTGATTTTATCTGATTTTAGCAAAGTTAAGACAAAAAAGATAACCAGTGAACAATGATAAAGTTATTTATAACTGAATAAAATTTAAGAGTTATAACAACTGGGACAGACAGATCATTATTTATTGGTCAGCTTGAGTTTTGGAAAAAATCAGTCCTTTTGACATACTCATCAAAACATGAATTTGAGAATCTCTTATATCTCGTGCAAATATTTCCAGTGTTACATTCATCCACCTAGTGTAATTCAGTGTATATTTGCTTAGTTGACGGTTTTTTTTCCTTTCCTTCACGTTCCCCAGGGGAACATAGGACTTCAAGCTAGTGGCTTGAAGCTTCTGTAGCAGTGTTTATTATTTTACAGGATTGGGTTGCTAACCTCATGCCCAACCTTTCCTCTTCACCAAGATTATTTCTGGCTTAGAGAGGTAAAGTTCGGCCGGGGATCGAACCCCGGACCATGTGGATGGTCGGCGAGCGCCCTAACCGCTATGCCATCGACGCACCTAGTTGACGGTTAGTTATACCTAAAGTACAAACATTAGTCATGATGTTTGGACTGTCAAAATCTTTGTGCATTGAGTCAGTTTGTTATCTATAAGCTTGTGGTTGTAAGTTGAGTTCTTAAACTACTGAATCTCAATATCCAATGCTGTCGTAGTAAAGTACAGAGCGTATACTTGCAAAAACAATAAACGTCTCTTCCAAGTCCTCATCAAGATATACTGCGAAACATTAATTAGTGATAAATAGTGACTGTTTAGTGACATCGGATATAATCTAACCATGGATTAATCTATAAACATATTGTTCTACAACATCTGCGGATTGTCTTCTTTATTGATTTTGAGGGTTTACGAAGCAGAGTACAGTGTGGACAAATGAACTAACAGATAAGTGAGTATATATGTAACTGTATGAAGACTATGTTGTTACACAAAAAAGACCTAAACGAGAAAGTGTGTTGAAGAATTACGTCTACTTAGAATCACGACAAATGAAGGTTCTCTATGCAATCATAATAGTTTTGAAGAAATACCATCGAATCCAGTAAAAGTGAAGTTTTCTGAAGAAAATATATATTAAATACCCCGACAATTTAAAGTGACAAACTTAAAGCTACAGTCAGAACACTCTGAACCATTGTTATTTAGACAACTTTTGTCAACTGTTTATAGGTCAAAATACTTGAATAGGTAAATGACTTAGTGAAAGTTGTCATGATAGTAAAAGGGATGTAATAATATGATGGAGACAAAAAATACTGCGTTACATAACTAACTGAAGAGTGAGTGTGAATTGAACTCAGTAAATTTTAATTCAATTCTAATGTAAAGTCAGATTATGTAAAGGAGTGAACAAAGGCGGGGAGGTGGGAGAGAATAAGTTACGAAGTTAAACTGTGGCGGGTGCTACTGCCAAGACTTGCCAGTAGTATATAAAAAGACATCCATCAGCACAAAAGTATCAGATAGCGGAGAGATGGATTTGACATCAAAAACAGAAAATGAATCAGTATTACAGAGAAACAAAGGGAACACGATAAGAAGACAAAGGAACACAACACTTAAGACAGAAGTTGCATAACACGGAGGATTTGTGCAAGTGACGCTTTTGACAAAAGGCGTACATAATTTCCCAATATGTGTATATCACATTGCCAATAAACATTCTGTTAGCAAGTCTCTTATCTTTTCCCGTTAAATAAAAACCGTTACACTTTGACTGCAAATAAGGTTAATGGTAGTTACATGTAACACAGTCTCACAAACCTAAAAATATTATCTTCAGTTTATAGTCGTAAACGGTTTTAAAATACCGACTAACATTACTAAATATTAAGAAGGTGGATTATTTATAATCATCAGAATATATTTTAACCTATTAAACGTACATACTTTTTTAATGAAAATCTTTTGCGTGGACATAAGTGCAGCTAAATCTTCGCTACATTACGATCACCCATCCTCATCTTTTTTAAATTACCCTTTCTTGTTATTTCAAAAGTGCTTTGCACAAGTGAGCATTTATTAAGGCCCTTCAACTTTATAAGTTTATTATGAGTTGTTGCTATGCCAACTGTTGAGTAACAATATATATAAGCCTTTAGGAACAAATATATGCATCGGTGGCACAGCGGTAGAATGCTCGCTAACCACGAATGTGGTCCAGGGTTCGATCCCCGGCCACCGACACACTCCCTTACATCGCTAAGCCAGCAACAATACCGATAAAGGGGAAAAGGTTGGGCATAAGGCTAACAACCCCATCCTATAAAAATGAAAATCCCTGTTAACAAAACCTCAAGTCTCTAGCTTGAAGCCCTATGTTCCACTGGGAACGTAAAGGAATAAAAAAAGGTACAAATATACCTAGAATGTAAGAGCTACCTGAAATTCATAAACCCAATATGCCCATGAGACCGATATTATATATGTATAGCTCACCATATCACGAAATAACGAGATGACTGGTAGATAGATATACTTAAACCACTGTAGCTAAAAGTGGCTAAGTATAGTTTGAAGGACACATTTGAATTTGTAGACAACGTAAGATATAAGATAATCAGTGATGAAATAATGATCACTATGGATGTCACCTTCCAGTTCACTAATGTTCCTTCACTAGAGACCATCGACTTCATCTATGAATCTCTCATAGAAAATGATATGAACATACATATACCACTTCAAACACTACGGGAACTGCTACTCCATT